CTTTTCCTTGATTTATTTAAGGCAATTTTTCATTTCTTCTTTAAAAGCCTCTATCATCTTCATAAAGTTATTTTTAAGGTCATTTTCTTCTGCTTCGTCTGTGTTGGCATGTTCAGGTCTTGCTGTTGTAGAACCAGTAGGTTCTGTTGGTGCCAAATAGCTATTTATGTTGTTGAATGTATTCTTACACTGATGCCTACCCATCTGAATTTGGGGGTAATTATAGGTACGGGTATTGATTCTTCTCCAATTGGTGCAGGTGGTGTCTGTGCCTCTGGGGACTACTGATGCCATGGGAGATGATTTCAGGGAGTTAGGGAGGGGGATGTTGGGTTCCATATGTTTAGGGGGAGGACTGGGACTTGTAGGTTACAGGGTCCAATGGGTGGTGGGTGTGGTGGAGCAGACTGCCCATAGGAATCTTACCTGCTGACCAGCTAGCTGCTGGATCTTTGATGGGTAGGGGATCTCTGCTAAACTTTCAAGGAAGAATTAATGCCAATACTTTTCAAAACCTTCCAATAAATAGAACTGGAAGGAATAGACTACTTCCTAATATGTTTCATGAGCCCAGTATCACCTTAATCAATGTACCAAAGATATGACAAAAAATCAAAACCGCAGCTTAATATTTGTGGCAATTGGGGAAACGTGAGCAAATTTTCTCATGAGGAAATATGAGCAAATTAAATTTTAAAGTATATTACAATAATTGCACACAACAATGAACTAAGATTTATCCCTGGCACTCATCTAGCTTAGCAAATGTAAATCAATCAACATGATCAATTACACAGTGAGACAAAAGCCAAAATGACATGGGCATTTCAATTATCCACACCTCTCTCCCCCCAAAAAAAATTAGAGAAAGACCATTATCAATTCTTGTAAAAATAAATCTCAATAGTGCCAAACACGATGGTATGAGCATGATGATACATGATGGTACTTGGAAGACAGAGGTAGGCAGATTTCTATGAGTTCAAGACCAGCTGGGGCTACATGGTAAGACTTTGTCTCAAGTATATATCAATAGTTGGAGAGGTGGAGAGGTGGCTCAGACATAAGGACAACTTGCTGTTATTGAAAGGAACATAGGTTTACAGCCTGGCACCCAATAGTAGCTCACAACCACCCATAATTCCAGTCTTGAGTGATTTGAAAACCTCTTCTGGTCTCCAAAGGCACCAGGCACACATGTGGTGCACAACAAAAATATAATATAAAAAACTTTCTTTATAAAGTTTCCATGATTCAGGTATAAAAGAAGAGCTCATCATGATGTAGCCATTTACAAAAGTCAGCAGTCTACATGATAATCAGGGGGAAAAACTGAAAGCTTCTCCTCTAAAATGTACAAAGTGTGGAATTCTTATCATCTCTATTTACCATAGTACTAGAAGTACTATCAAGAAAAAACAAGCAAAAAATATATATACTAACAGTATCTAAATCATTATGAAAAAGTAAAATTATCTTGATTTGTAGTTGACATGTTCATCTGTGTACAAAATCCCAATGATTTAATCAGGAAACTATAAAACTAAAGGATAAATTTGATGAACTTGCAGGAGATAAGACCAATACATAAAAACATGATATTTCAAGACACAAATAATTGTATAATAAAAATATAATCTAATTTATAATTGCATAAAATATTTAAGAATAAATTTAGCAAAAGAGGTGAAATACTTGTAAAGTGACAGCTACAAACATATAGTAAAAGGAATTAAAGACAACAACAGGAAATGGAAAGACTCCATGGCCATGGTTCTCAAGTATTATTGTTAAAATGTCACACTACCAAAAGAAACATGTAAATATATCATAATCTCTATAAAATTCCAATTGAATTTTTCATAGCAATGGGAATAAAAATAATTACAAAATTTGTATGTAATCATAAAATACTATGAGGCAGGAAATACAGTTAGAAATATAAGCTTATACTATACAACACAGTTTTCTTAATCAAAATACTAGGACATTGAAACCCTTATAAACCTATGCCACAGAAGAGAGAGACAAGAGGGGGTCCACGCATTACAGTCAGCTGGTGTTAACAAGAGTAAAAAGGAGAGGCAATGGCAAAGGAATGTCTCTTTGATAAATAGTGCTATGAAGAATGAAATTGGACGCTTGCATATCAAAAGAAATTAAAATGGATTTAAACCCCCAAAATATTAATGATTAATTCCATAAAACTCACATAAAGAAACATAATGAAAGCTCCTTGACATTGTCTTTGGCAATATTTCTTAGCTATTATACCAAAATCAGAAGATACAAAAGTAAAAGTAAGCAAACATGATTACATCAAGCTACAGAGCAAAACAACTCATAAAATCAAAAGGCAACCTGCAAGTTGGAAGAAAAATATCTGTAAATCTTGTGCCTGATTAGAATCTGGTGTTTGTTAGTATCCAGATTCATGAAATACTTTCTTTTTAACTAGATAACGAGAAAACACAAAACGTGATTTTTAATGGTCAGTGTCTTGAATCTGATGCATCCAAAAAAGAGGTATAAATGATCAGCAGGTAAATGAAAAGGTAGTCAACATCACTAATCATCAGGGAGATGTAGACAAATGCCACCATGAGATAATATTTTATATCTTAAGATAGTTGTTATCAGTATGGCCGGAACGTTGGCACAAATGAACTGGAAAAAAAGAAACTTTTAAACACTGTTTCTGGAAATGGAAACTGGTGGAGTCATTATGGAAGCCAATATGGAGGGTCCTCAATAAGTTAAATGCAGAGTCATCATATGACCTAGCAGTCTCTCTTCTGGGAATATGCTCATAGGAAATGAAATCACTCTAACTCAATTCACATAACTGTATAGTCTTACTGTTACAGGGATTGGGAGGGGAAACGGGGGAAGAGGAGAACACAGGAAGCAAATGGGATGATATAACTTGAAGATACAAAGTACGGATGTTTATAGCAAAAGGAATGAGGATAATATAACATGAATGTTATAGATAATATATCCAGAATTTTTGTTAAAACTGTAACCATGGAAGGGTGTGGATGATGTTTATGTGAGATGATAGATACTTGTTTTTTTCACAGTGTCACAGTAGTAGCTGTTTTAAAGTCTATAACAACAGCATGCTGCATACCCTAAATATACACAATAAAATTTATTTTTAAGGAAAATGTAAGGAATATGATTACATTCATCCAGAAATAGTCAGATTTACTGCAACAAAAAAAATTCATTTGTGGTTGCCAGAGGCTAGGCGAGAGGTAGAGAACTAGAGCTTGATGAAGAATCAGTTGGGGAAAACAAAAGTTCCCAGAATGAATGATGTGACATCCAAAAGTGTTCACTAACTAACTACAAAAATGCACATTTAGGTAGATGAACTGGTAAATACCCTACTATACACATATAGACATAATAAAACTTAAAATTCATGCAAAAATAGATCATAGTTTAGCAAAATCAACTTCCCTTGAGTATAAAAGAAGAATGAGTAAAGTTAAGAAAGGAATGACAAATAGTACTTAGTTATGAATTCTCATTATGTAGTCATCTCGTGCCTTCCATCTAGATCCCAAACTTCCAGAAGAGAGGGGTGACTTTACAGTCCACATATGTGTTTCCTGTTCCTCAGCATAATGACTGGCTAGCATGGCATAGACTCTGTCAAGAGGAATTGCCATGTGACATTTCCTTAGAAAGTAAGGATAGTTGAGTTCACAGTGGTAATGATCCCATGTGGAAGTTTTCCAAATGTGGTTAAAAAATTCCAAACTTAAGCTTATGACTTTGAGTTTAAGGAGATGACTATGGAGCAGGAATAATGCACCTGTAGTAGAGACATGAATTTGTCATCTCTCTTCCTGTTTCAGAGGCTCGTTTGTAAAACAGTTCTTCACATCTACTTGATTTCCATGAAGGTAAGGCATGGGTCATATACAAGTGCTCAAGTATTGCTAATCCCGCCCCCCCTTCAACTTCTCTGAAGGTTTGTTTTCTCTGTGGAATTAACTTAACTTAAAATACCTGTTCATGCATAGTAATCAGCTTTACTTTTAGCTCAGCCTGGATTATATACAATAACTTGAGTGCTGAGTATTCATTGCCTTGTTCTGTGACATTAGTCAAGTCATGCCTTATGTCAGCTATCCTTAAATGACTTCTGGGTTCTTGTCATCCTCCTGAGATCGTGCTTTTAAAACACAATGAGGAGATTTCTTTAAAATCACTTTAACCTTCTAGGCAATAGACTGCTATTGCATTTTTTTTCTTCATAAGCATGTCTATTGGCTCAACGACAATTCTGCATCAGTTCTGAGCCCTAATATTCTTTCACCTCAATCATAATCATGAAGATAGTCATGTTTTTGTGGATGTTTCACTTATCACAAAGGATTTGATTGACCTAAAGATTTGGCTTCAGTTATGAGGGATAACATTTGTATTGCCAGGTGGAACAGGAGTTTGTATACTCCTAGATACCCTGATGATGGACTGGAGAATGTTATTCATATGAGGCTAGCATCAGATTCTGGGCAAATCAATGGGAGTAGTTGTAAGATCTGAATCATGACTATTATCTTAAGATTCTGAGTCTCTCAATGAAGTGGGTTGAATTGGAAAAAAAAATGTCTGTTCTCACCTCTGTGCACACCACCAGAGAGCTATAAAACTGATGTGAGTGGAAAATTCAACTGTAGCAGAAATTAAAAGTCTGCAGCCAACATTTCCAAGTAAACTGAGAACCAACCAGAATGTTAAAAAAAACAAATGACCACAAACCATATAAAATATTCAGACCTTGGTAGAAAGAAAAATACTCCAAGGACTCCAGAAGTTTGATTTATGAAAGACCTGGGTTCTTGCAAATGCATAAAATTGTACAATTGCTCATAGAGAATCAGTCCTTAATGCATTTTGTACCATGTAGAAACTATGAAGAAAAACTATATTTATGTATGGAGCCTATGAGCACCATGATTTATTAGGCAATTTCCCCCATGTGCAATGCTGTGTGAGCACCAGGTCCAGTGTGGAACCCTAACCAGGCGAAGTCAACATGCAGCACAAGAGTCTGAAAAGTGTCTGGCTTCAAGGGAACATTTGTGTGCAATTTGGCAGAAATAAAACTAACTAGGAAGGCTGGGAATCTTAAAAAAGAAAAATGTTCCCCCTGTAGTCCATCAACTGGAGTAGGAAGATTTGCCCTGAGTAAGGCCATTTGATCCATACTAACTATGCTCACCCAGCAGCTCTTCCAAGAAGACAGAGGTGGCCATCCGGGGGGCTGGTGTGAAGAGTGTATACACTGTGGCCTTACTGAGTGTATCCAGCACATAAGCTGGAAGCTCATCCTCCTTGAACCACACCCTTAGGAGGCAATTCAGTTGTGATTATCCACAAGATTAAATGTTGCTCCAAGCTGCAAGAGGTAAAGGCTGGAAAGAGAATACAAGGTCATAATCCTTAAGTCATATTTGTTCCTGAGGGAAAATTGGTACTTCAGTCTAAATCATTCAAACATCTGCCTCTGAAACCTGGATGTTTGGGATACCAGCATCCTATAAAGGAAGTTCCTTCTAACAGACAGCTAGAAGCTAGATACAGCCAGTGGGACTTGTACTTAGAAGCAGAAACATAGCTTATGACAAAATGGCATGTACTTCAGGTATTTTCAAGGAACCTTGGCATGTGGCACAGTTTCTTTTCAATGTATTCATAGGGTGACTACATTGCTAGATCAAATATAAAGATTATATTAAAAGCTTAATCAGAAATCCAACATGAAAATTGAATGCTTTTTGACTTATAATGGTGTCATGTCCCAGTTAACTCATGGTAAACTTAAAATACAGTAAGTTTAAAAATGCATTTAATACTCTCTCCTATTAAACATAAGAGCTTAAAGCAGGCTGATCAAAATAGTAAATCCAAAAAGCTGTGTTACACTGAAGTGTTTACTTTGTGTTGAGCACTGTACTGAGGAAACAGTACAAAGGCCCTCTGGGTACACATTTGCAGCCTTGAAAGCCACGCCCCCTTTGTGGGGCCATCCAAGCCAAGCACGGCTGCCGCTGCCATGTATACTTGTATATATGTACACGTATGAGTCTGCAGATGGAGAACTTGTCATGTCTCCTACAGGAAAGCTCATGGCACATGTTGCCTGGTTTAGGCTTCACCTTTGTCACTGTGGAACTTCCTATAACGCAGTGAGTTTCTACTCCTTGCTTCTACCCGTGCCCCCCAACAGCTGGCCCTGGAGAAACTCTCCCTGGTTGTCCCCTTAAGAGAAGGAATGGCTCTACTCTGCAGTTGAGTTTTAACCTGCGGTCTCCAGTCCATGACCAAGTTCCTTTTAGAGAGTGTGAAGCTGAAGGGGGAAAGAGGGTTTCATTTGGTTTACTACAGATTGGTCCTTGGCAAGCATATTCTCTGCAACAAGGTTTTGTTTTGTGTTTTGTTTGTTTTCAGCTGTCTGAAAAGCATAGTTGTCTGCTTTCTTAGGCTCTCTTTTTTCATTATTTGCCTATTCAAATCCTCCAGGCATCTTTAGAAATAATATTGAAGGGAAACAGACAAGCATTTAACGTATCTGAGGACCTATTTTTGTTTCATTCTTTCTCACAGAGCATTACTTTTTACTAGCATACATTCATTTTATATAGTGCTAGATTCCATAATGACAGTCTACCTTCTTCAAGTAAATCATGTACTTTGAACATTTTAACATCTATCCCACTTACTTTCCTTCATCTCCTATTTCATTCCCCTCCTGCCATAAATTTACATATATACATATACACAAATAGATATACATATATACTTATATATACATAATATACTTGCATAGGTATGTACATACTTATATGTGTATGTACATATATGCATATAAATGTGCACACATACATATGCATACACATGTGTATATTTACATACATGTACATATATATGGTTTTGGATATCTATGTAAATCTAGAATCCACAGTCCACATATGAAAGAAAATGTTTCTGTACTTCTGTTTCCTCTTTTATCAAATGTGGCTAATAGTCTATTAAAAATGAAAATGCTAGCTCAGGATGGTGTATATGCCTATAATCCTGGTACACCAGAAACTGAAGAAGGAGAATTGGGAGTTACAGGTCAGCTTGGGCTATACAGTGAAACTCTAACTCAAGAAAAAACATGCATTGTTTAAGATATTCCATACCAAGTACTTAATAAAAGGTGAAAAATCACATAATTAACTTTGAAAGATATTTGATGGGTTCATACCTACCATTTCTTTGACTGCCTCTCACTTACTTTATAAATTCAAGCTGACTCTTTTTCACACATACTATGCATCCATTAGAAAAATTCTTTTTTTTTTTTCAAGACAGGGTTTCTCTGTGTTGTTTTGGTGCCTGTCCTGGATCTCGCTCTGCAAACCAGGCTGGCCTTGAACTCACAGATATCCACCTGGCTCTGCTTCCCAAGTACTGGGATTAAAGGTGGGCCACCCCCACCAGGCTAGAAAAATTCTTATACTTAATTGATGTTCTTTTAGTTCTCTGGCTACTTCAGCAGCTTGCAACACACTTAGATTCTATTTTCCTGAACAGAACAAAGGTCATGATAATGTCCTCTTCCACTTAGAACATCGTAGAACTATCCCTGAATATTGGTGATGATGGTGGTGAGCACTTCCAGCATGCTGAAGGACTGACTCATGCTTTAAAAATGTCCAGGGATGGCAAGATGACTCAGTGGGTAAAGACACTTGCCACAGGAGCTGATGACCTGAGTTTGATCTTTGGGACTAACATGGTAGGAGAAAGCACTTGCTAAGTGTCCCCTGACCTCCATACAAATGCAGTTTCTCCTCTCTCTCTCATTTCCTCTCCCCCTCTCCCTCTCTCTATCTCCTCCCACACATATATCCAAATATTAATAAAAAATGAATTTTTCACAATTTTATTGTCATTGTTCAGACCTCATATTCTTCATATAGGTTTGACTCATGCTACCAAACTCTTATCAAACTACGTGGTTTCAAAGAGAGATCCGTAAAAACATTTAAGTTAATATTATTCACTCATTATAATAGTATTACCAAACTTTGAAGGGTCCTATCTTTCCTCTTATTCTTTAAACTAGATCAGAATACCTGTTTTAGTATCAGAAACATTGTTCTAACAATAATAGTAAGAGTATTGCTAACTTACTCATTAGCATAGCAGCCAGCAAACAAATGTCACTGTTCAGCCAATTTCCATGGACATCCAAGTTGTCATCAGTGCATTGGTATCACCCACCAAGCAAAGTACCTGCCTTTTCAACACACCAAGTGATAGCACACAAGTCATTACTATTAATGGACTATAGCAAAACACTGTGTTTATCACCAACCTTCATTTTTAAAGCTTTGTGAAGCTCAACTACTAGGATTTCAGTTCATCAATCTCCAGGTTAAAAATGGAAAATATACTTCCTTGCTCTCTTTCAAATACATGGCCTCTTTTTTCATTAATTGCTGTTAAATAATATGTACGTATACATACATAAATATCCCTAAGTACATGAATACAACCTGGCCAATCTGTATAATGTTACTTGTATGTATGTTTTCAGGACTGACCAGTTTGATTAGATAGCCAGTTGGTGTTCTCTTCCCTCAGGAAGACTGTTTCTCCCACTTTCAGCATCCTTGGTTGCCTGTAGATCTTTGTATAGGATTGAAGCTTCCCAGGGTTTCCCTAGTCCACAGCACCATCTCTATTGGTGTTGTCCTTGTTCACCTCATGTTTAAACAGTCATGTTGGTGAGACTTTGGAAGGGCAGGTTCTGAAATCTCTATGAGACACAATCTCAGTAAACTCCCTGTTCTTCTGGATCTTACAATCTTTTCTCCCCTTCTTCTGCAATGATGCCTGAGCTCTAGGTTCAGGAGTTGTGAGCAGTATATGGGAGGGTTTAGAGAGAGGAAAAAGAGTGGAAAATGTTGTAATTATATTATGATCTCAAAAAGAGAAATATTTTTTAAAGAGGTAAATACACTTCAGCTTGAAAATAAAGCTATATTTGTTCACCATTGTTTCAAGAATTTTACTTTTAAAAATAAGTTGAAAAATTATAAAAGTTAATTGGGTATTTATATATAATTATGTCTAGCTACCATACTCTTTGAGACTGTAAAATAAACATAATAACTTGTATTTTAAAAATTCCAAGCAGTAACCAATCAACTAAATTATTTACTTCCATTTTATTTTAACAAATAAATTAAAGTTGTAGTGACTACTTGATTAATTGGAGGGTGGATGTGAGACCATTGCAGACATCTTTCCTAGTAAGACTAAGTTATGGGAATGAAGTAGAAAATGTAAGAAAAAGAAGATTTTGTGGTCAATACTAATAGAATCATGCAGAAGTTTTGTGTGGCTTTACCCTTCCCCCTTATTTGGGGATCCATCCTGATTCACTGTTAATATGCTTTTTTAAAAGCAAGGAACATATCCAAACCTCAGTTCAACAGGAATGGAATTAGTACTGCTGTAAAAGTAGAAGCAGGAAGTATAACCTGTAACTCAGTTGACAGGCAAGTTCTGGGCTGAGTGAACAGGTGAGCCTTGTAGAATATTCTGGAAAGAACATTCCTCTGCCATTCTCAGAAGAGACTTGACTACTTAGTCATCTATTAGAAGAGCTTCTCCTATCAAACATATTAAGAGACATCAAAATTACCTGGGGATGGGGTGGGGCTGTAGGATATCATCCACGTATCTGAACACCATAAATGGGATTGAGAGATGAGAAGTTCTCTAGAATTGTTTTCATCTGCATTTCTTTTAAACTTTTCTAAAAAAGAGTTTAAAAATAAATCTTTGTGGAAAGATTTCAAAGTTTTTAATTCACCTGAAAAACATTACAAGGATTATTTCTAAACTTAGGTCTTGCTTTCAAACAAATATGACACATGCCATTTAAAAACTTCAAGATGGGAGAATAAAAGACATATCCTTGCAATTAACATAGATTATTTCAATCTCCCAGTAAATATTTAAATATCTATGAGAGCCTGGGGAGTAGGGGTGGGGGCTTTGTTTCTTTCTTTCTTTTTGTAAAGGGTATGCCTCAGCCATTCTCTAAGTCTTTGGTTGAGACCTCATCTCTGCATGTTTCCAGTTTGCTTAGAAGAGGAAGGCTGCTCTCCAACAGTTGAAACAAACTCCTCTTTCACACCATATCAGGCAATGCTGATTAACTGGATGAGACTCAAATATTAAAACCACAGTGGCTTATTTCTCATTCATGCTGGACAAATACCCATTCATTCTTGTTACCAGGGTCCTCTAATATCCACAGTTTTTAAAGTAGTCACCATATTTGTCTTAGAGACAGTTATATCATATGCAAAGAGAGCTCTAAAATGACTTCCAATTAAAAGCTTAGCCCTAAATCCACACAAAACATTGGCCAAAATGAGCTGCATAAGCTAAAAGGTACAAGCTTGATACACACCAGAAATATCTGATGGTTCATATTAAGCATATCCACACATGACCATACTTAAGTTACTCTTAGACTGGCCTTCATTTTTCCCTAGTATGAGGGATCAATCAATTCTGAAAACATTTAGAATTCATGTGATATAATCAATTTATCTCCCCCTTTGTCATCAGACATCATTTTAGGTTAAATATATAGACTATTTGAACATGGTTATCAATGTTTAACTAGACATTGTCTGTATGATTACCTTTGACCTGTCTGATTTTTCTTATGCCTTCTTTGCCTCTTCTGTATTTTCTCTGACCTTACAGTTTTCCATTTCTTTTCCTTATTTTAATCTCCCCCTCTTTTTCCTTCTTCTTTAGCACCACCATCTAAAATACCCTACAAAGTAGTTAAAATCTGGAGTTTCTTTTAGCATGAAGAATAGTCTTTTATTATATGCTGATGGTAAAGAAATACAGAGGAAATGCATGCTTGAGAGCCAGGTTACAGCTTCGTGACTGAACTTAGTTAGACTACAATTATCAATCCATCATCAAATATAAGTGACTGATCAAGTCGCTCCTGTTTTAGATAGCTGTGGTGAGTATGAAAGTAAGATTGAAATGAAAACAGAAAGAGGCCTTTGGGCAAAGAAAGGCATAGGAAAAACTGCTATAGAGAAGAAGAAAGGCCCAGAGCTTCAGAAGTCTTCGCTTGTGCCTGGGACAGACTGGAAGCATTGCAGTGAGGTGTCTGCACAGCACAGCTGCAGAACAAAGGCATTTCTGGGAGATTAATGGACAGGCTCACATGACTTACAAAGACTTAACAAAACGTCAGCACAAACTGACTTTCCATAATGGGTTTCTTCCCCTGATGATTCAAGGAGCTTGAAATTTAATGAGGACAAACAAATCCTCAACAAGAAATGATAAGGAAATGAGACTGAGTCTCCCAAAGACATGCCAGAATTTATGTATTCTGATCCTCTGGCCTTCAGAGGCCTTAGCAAAGCTCAGCCATTCCTGGTTCCCAAAACACTTGTTGGAACTCTTAAACCTGCCATCTAAGGATCATCCTGCAGAATTCTTAGACTGTTTATTTGAAGTGACTTCTTGGTTCCTGTCCTTCTCTCCCCCATTGCTCCCAACTGAAATCCTATACAGCCTTCCAGTCTTAATTTAAGTGTCACAGATGATCTCTCTTAACTCCAAATGTCTATCAAGCTGTTTCTGTCCCAGTCATAGCATTAATGTATTTTACTTTATGCCATTGGTCAACATGTTCTTGTAGATATGTGGGTAAGAGAGGGGGTAAGGTCTGAAGGGCAAGAAAGTAGACACTTAAAGACCAAACCAACAATCAGCTTAAGCCATGGTGGCACAGGGCTGTGCTTCCAGCTTTCAGGAAGCTGAGACCTGAGAATCTTGAGTGCAAGGCCAGACTGGGCCACACATTAAGATCCTGACCCAAAGCACAATCATTAAAAAAAGAAAAGAACACAGAAACTTCCTGTCTAGGTTGATTTTGTGTCAGTGTATATTGACAGGAATATGAACTATATATACCATATACAACGTTCTATACAAAGTAAATAAAGAAACCCTACCTCCAATCTTACTCTGTCTAAAACCTTACCTCCTGTGTTACTCTCACTGTCTCTGAGTAGAGAGGAGAATTGTTTTCTGTGTCTAGCATGTATTTTGGTTAGTTTATGTTTTTCTCACCCATAGGCAGGGCAGAATAGAAGGTGAAAAGGGAGTAGTCCAGTAAATCTAAGCATGGCCCATTAATTTGCTCCCCTTAGTATAGACATCAAGATTGGTCTAGGAGCATCTAGGTCTAGGCATCTCAACTCTAATCAACCTTTTTGCCCTCCATTTCATGATGGGAAATTAGGTTAGAAGTATTTGGGGATTAATGCTGGCATAAGGCTGTTCATATGTGTCTACTATATAAAAAAATAAAGTCAGACAGAGGCAGTCAAAGAGGCAGAGGAGAGAGCTTTCTTACATTACAATCTTAATCCCCAAGGTTATGGCTGCTCAGGTTGTTTTTGTATTAATTTTGATTATTTTATTTTTATAGTTTTGGACATTGAATCTCAGACCTCTCGTGCTAAGCCAGTGCACTAACTGCAGGGGGACAACCTCAGCTGCTTGGGTCTTTATGTTTATGATGTGTCCTAGTACCATCTTTTTCATTTGCTCTGATTCAAATTGGTTTCTGTTACTTAAAACCAAATGTCCTTTCTAAATGGACTTCATTGAAAGGCATAGTATCCTTAAACTAAACCAAGAAAACAATTTTAAGGGTAAACAGAATCACTTAACAAGTGAAGTCATTCTAACAGACCATCTTGTGTCTTGATTTTAAAGAGAGATTAATCAGCATTTAAGGAGAAACAATGAGAGGGTAAAAAGGAGGTGCTTTAACTCAGATATACATAAACATGATTGCAGCTTTCAAAATAAAACACAACAGAAATGTGGATACAAAGAAGCAGAACAATATCCCTGTTAGAGTCATATGACTACATCTCAGCAGCGACATGTGTAAGGGTCATAGGAGGTCAAGAGGAAGCACACATTCCTTTTTTCCCTCCCCTGAATCCTTAGGAGAAAAAAGACTTAAGTGATTTATGCCTTATGCTCTGGTGCAGAGCCTATAAAAACCATGAACTTTTGGTGACTAGTCCTCTTAAACTGTAAAGTACCAACATACAATGTAACAGGGAGAGGCTGGTTACTCAGACTCTGGTCAGAGAACACATTGTTAAGTTTGGAAAGGTTTTGTGGAAATCTTGTATGTTATTAAAGAAGGACAGTAGTATCTAAAATTCATGCCAGACTATCTCAGAGTCAACCACTCAGAAAGAGTAAGTGAGCTATGTAAAAACTTCTAGAAACAAAAGAATTCAATGAAATGGCATGATACATAATCCACTTTCAAAACATAATAGCTTTTCTATACACCAGTAACAAATACACAGAAAAATATCATGGACACATTCTACTTCACAATAGCCTCAAAGAAAATAAAGTATCTAAGAATAAACCTAACCAAGTAGGCAAAAGGCCTCTACAATGAAAACTTTAAATCTCTGAAGAAAGATATACAGAAATATACTAGAAGATGAAAAGATCTCCTATGCTCATAGATTGGTAGAATTATTATTGTGGTAATAACCATTTTTCCCAAAAGCTATTTACAGATTCAATGTAATTCTAGTCAAAATTCTCATCTCATTCTTCACAGACATAGAAGGAAAAAGCTATCCCCCAAATCATTTGGAACTACAGAAGATACAGGATGGACAAAGCAAGAGCAAAAATAAAGAAATCTGGGGAAATTCAGATTGCATGCATCATGATATATTATAGAGCCTTAGTATAAGAACAATATGATACTCCAACAAAAACAGACATGTAGATGAATAGAACAAAACAGAAGACTCAAATGTGAGCACATGTAAAAAGAATCTAATATTTGACCAAAAAAAATGCCAAAAACAACAAATGGTGCTAGGTAAACTGGATGTCTGCATGTAGAAGAATGAAATTAGACCCCTATCTAACTAATTCCAAATGGATCAAAGACCTAAATGTGAAACCTGAAACACTGAAACTAATAGAAGGTAATACAGGATGTACCCTACATAACAGAGGTGTAGGAACAGACTTTCCATTTGCCCAGGAATTTAAGGCCAAAGATTTATAAGTGGGATCACATAAAACTAAAAGACTTCTGCAAAGCTAAAGAAACAATTAATTCAGTGAAGAGGAAGCTCACAGAATGGAAGAGAATTTTTATCAGTTTTACATCAGACAGAGGATTAATGCCCAGAATAAATAAACCACTAAAAAAAGGAAAACAACACAAAACAGACAGACAACAACAACAAATGAACCACTCAAAAATGGATTCTTGTTTTAAGTAAAAAAGCTCTCAAAAGAAGAAATAGAAATGGTTAAGAAATATACTGAAAAGTGTTCATTATCTTTAGAAATCAAGGAAATGAAAATCAAAACAGTTTTGAGATTTCATCTTACCACAGTGAGAATGGCTAAGACCAACAAAACAACCAACAATAAATGTTGGAAATAATGTGGAAAAAGAGAAAACCTTATGCACTATTGATGGGATTGCAAACTGTGGTAGTCTTTCTGGAAATCAGTGTGGTACATGCTCAAAAACAAAAACAAACAAGCAAAACCTATGTTATGACCCGGTTATACCACTCCCTGGCATGTGCCCTAAGGTTTCATCATCCTACTCCACAGATACTTACTCAGCTGTGTTCATTGGTACTATATTCACGATAGCTAGAAAACAGAAAGAACCTAAATATCTTCTAGGTGATAAAAATATGGACACTACAAAACACTGTTCAGCAATTGTGGGGGTCTTGGTGACCACAAGGACATATGCTGTGGGATGTCTTTCTGTATGCTGTGAATATATGTGGCTCCCATTGGATAATAAATGTAGCTCTTTTGGCTTGTGGCAAGAAAGGTTACAGCCAGGCAGGAAATCCAAGCAGAGAGAAAAAGGGCAGAATTGAGAGAGACACCAGCTGCCACCAAAGGAGCAACAAAATGCCAGCAGACTGGTAACGCCATGACCATGTGGCGATATATAGATTAATAGAAATGGGTTAATTTAAGATGAAAGAGCTAGCTAGCAAGAAGCTGAAGCCAAAGGCCATACAGTCTATAATTAATATAAGCTCCTGTGTGTTTACTTGGGACTGAGCAGCTGCAGGACCAGGCAGGACACAGGAAAACTTCTGTCAGTATATGGCTCCAATATGTGTTAGCAAGGGTTTCCACCTAAAATCTAAGAGAGCTTAAGAAGAGAATGTAAATGTAGCTAAGAGCAGCTTTCTAGTTTGTGTCTCTCATGTGGGCTGTGGTACAGATGGCAAGGCATTCAAGCTTGAGCACAGAGTGGCCAATTCACACTGTGGTACACAGAGGTGTCTCCAAGCCATGCAGTATACTGCAGGGCAGATTTAGCTATTGCTAGTACAGAAAAAAAAGGTTTCTGGGCTACACACCGCTTGATGGAGGCATAGACCCATTGCTCCCTCTGCAATGTTGGGGCATCCATCTTCAGGACTAGCCCCAACATTGCAGAGGAACTTTGGATGACTGTCCAGGCAGCCAGATGCCTCTGTCATTTCTAGAATTATGGGAGTTGCTTGCAATGTACTTCCTGTTTACTTGGGTAATATTATATCCTTCTGGGTTCTTTGACAGAGTTGAAGACTAGATAGTTATAATTTTCCCTAGTTATGATAAAGGATAAATTAGATATAAAAAGTTAGACTCACAAAATAGGATAGATGATAGGCTATTTTCTAATTTTGCCAAATACAAATAGACTAGATATTGTAACTGTAATTCTTGCTTGATAATTCTTTTGTTATATCTAATTTTACTTTGTTGAAGTTGAAACCTTCCTTTTTGATTAGACAGAAAAGGGAAAGTGCTGTGGGATGTCTTTCTGTTTACTGTGAATATGTGTGGCTCCCATTGGATAATAAGTAAAGCTCTTTTGGCCTATGGCAAGAAAGATTACAGCCAGGCAGGAAATCCAAGCAGAGATACAGAGAGAATTAGGGCTGGTGTTGAGAGAGATGCCAGCTGCTGCCAAAGGAGCAACAAAATGCCAGCAGACTGGTAACACCATGGCCATGTGGCAACATATAGATTAATAAAAATGGGTTAATTTAAGATGAAAGAGCTAGCTAGAAAGAAGTTGAAGCCATAGGCCATACAGTTTACAATTAATGTAAGCCTCTGTATATTTACCTGGGACTGAGTGGCTGCAGGACCAGGCAGGACACAGGAAACTTCTGTCAATAGACATACATGCCTCCTACAAGCAATAAAGAAAAATAAAATCATGAATTGTGTAGGTAAATGGGTAGAACTAGAAGAGATCATATTGAATGGGGTAACCCAGACCCAGAAAGACAAGTATCAAATTCTTTCCCATCTTCAGTTTCTAGTTCCAAATCTTCAGGTCCAAGTATATAACCTGAAGTAACCACAGAAACTAGAAAAGTTTTTTTAAGGACCACCTGCAGGTGGGTACTAGGTAGAGGAATAGCAAAATTCAAGTAATTTAAAGGGGGAAATGGAAGAAATGAGGGAGCGGGAGGGGGTATTGTGGTAGTTACAATGAAAATGGACCCTATTGGCTAATATATTGGAATACTTAGTTCCAAGTTGGTGGAAGTGTTAGGGAAGGATTGGGAAGTGTGGCCTTTCTGGAGGAGGTGTGTCACTGGGAGTGGGCTTTGAGGTTTAAGTAGCCCACACTATTCCCAGTTCTTTCTCTCTGTTTAATGGTTGTGTTTCAAGATGTAAACTCTCAGCTACTGCTCCAGTACCATGCCTGCCTGCCTGGTGCCATTCTCCTATACCACCATAATGATCATGGACTCATCTTCTGAAACTCTAAACCCCCAATTAACTCTTTCTTTTATAAGTTGCATTGCTCATTATGTCTCATTCCAGAAATAGAAAAGTAGCTATTGCTAAAGATACCATGTAATTGGACCCAGAGGATCTGTGCTAGATCTGACCTAAAAGTCTCCTCACTGAGGACTAACTTTCATAATAATGGAAGTTGCTATGTAATGCTTCCAAGGGGTGGATACAAAGTATAGTCCCATCCATCTGTGATACCTATGACCCACAATAATGAGGAGGCCTTCAAGATATTCCTAAAGGTGCATTAGTGGCACTCATACCTTGACAGCAACCAGGCAACCATGACATAAGACCTGGAAAAAAATTATACTTGGTATTAGAAATTTAGCCAACTAACCGGGGCTAGCAAAGTCATGGAACTTAAAGGGGAACCTACTACTGCCACTTTATCAACTAGCATCATTGCTAACTGCAACTTAAATATTTATTCTTATACTACAGATAGTGTAGTTCTCGCCCCTCAACAAATAAACTTCTTTTTGCAATAGATGGAAACCACTACAGAAAGCCTCAACTGGTCAAAAAGCAGAGGACTAGTGATTGTGGCGCTTTCATTCTGATTCATATGTCTATGACACAACTTCTGAACCTAAGGCTCAGAGAACATGGCAGAAGAAGGGATAGAAGACCATAAGGACCATTGGCCAGGGAAATCTATTGTGAGATTGTGTCTCCTGGGAAGCTTCGCCATGATACCTCAATAATATGGCTGCCAAAATAAAATTTGAACAAATATAATGCCAATAGACACTCTAAAGTGGAAGGGGAAATCTCAGGGACACCCCTAGACAAAAAAGAGAAACTAAGGAATGCTGAGAGTAGGAGAAATAGTTTTTGAGGGGAATCAGCCCACTAATTGATAATACAATCTCAAGTGATTTGCTCTGAAAGTATAAACATATAAGCATGAACTGAGAAGATTGTATTTATATACTTAGGGAGGGGTGTGTGTGTGTGTGTGTGTGTGTGTGTGTAAAACAATAACAACTACGAAAAAGAGCCCAGGAATTTGAGAGGCAATGGTAAGGAGAAAAGGGAAGGAGGAAATGACATAATTATGGTTTAATTAAAGAAAAAATCTTTCCCAAAAAATAATTGTAAATCATTAAATGTCAAAAAGAACTGTTAAAAGAAAAAAAGAGTAAGAAGATAAATAAAAAAAATTGGTTTGTCTCTGTACCAACAAGATAATTTACACAGTGATCATCATATCTCCAAATATAGGCAAATCTAGAACTATTTTTATTTTCTAGCTTTTCCAGAAATTTACAAAACTGAAGACAATTTTTAGACAGTAGGCAATACAAAATAAGTGATTGGTCAATAGATCATTGCTTGACCTTGGTTTAGAATCAAATATTGAAATGAACTGTAAAAAGATACTTGTTAGAGAAATGAGATGCCAACAATAGATCAAAGAAATATCACAAGAGTCTTGTGAGCATTAGAAGGCTTGGTAGTAGAATATGCTTAAACAGGGTTCAAGGCGACAGTTTTTGTCTTTTGCTTGTTTTTTTTTTAACTTTTATTCTCTCATACATTACATTCTGACAACAGTTTCACCTCCCTCCACTCCTACCAGTCCCTCCCCCCCAATTCCGCTTCCCCCCAGATCAACTCCTCCTCCTCCATTCCCCCCCCCTTTTTTTTGTTTTTTCGAACAGGGTTTCTCCGCATAGCTTTGTGTCTTTCCTGAAGCTCACTTGGTAGCCCAGGCTGGCCTCAAACTCACAGAGATCCGCCTGGCTCTGCCTCTCGAGTGCTGCGTTTCCCTTTTAAAAATAAACGAAAAACTAGAGCAGGCCTCCCAGGGATATCCACCAAACATGCCTAACAAGATACAGTAAGACTGGTCACAGACCCTCATAGCATGGCTGCACACGGTGACCCAGTAGAAGGAAAAGAGTTCTAGGCTCAGGCAAAAGAGTCAAACACTGCCTCCACCCTCTCTCCCATTGTTGGGAGTCACACAAGAACACCACGCTATACAACCTTAAGGTATATGCTGAGGATCTAGCTCAGACCCACATAGGGTCTATGTTTGTGGCTTCATTTTCTGTGAGCCCCTACGAGCCCTGCTTAGTTGATTCTGCGGGCTGTATTCTTGTGGTGTCCTCAACCCCTCTGGCTCCTTCAATCCTTACTCTCCTCTTTTGTGAGGTTCCCTTGAGGAGATAGTTTTATGAGTAAAGGAGGGCTGCCCTGAAGCCTGACGATGTGAGTTCAAATACCAGGATCTACTGATGGCAGGAGAAAACTGATTCCTTCTGTGGTAGTTATATGCCCACACATACATACAGGCAAACACACAAAGTAAGTAAATGATAGCAATAATAATAATAATTTAAAAAGAATATGCTCCAACATCCTCCATACACCATATTTAAGAGGAATGGTTTTAGGCTTCCAGAGCTGTTCAAGGAGAGATTTGGGATATATGATGATTTGCTCCCTGTAAGAGCCCATGGTTCCAGCTCTCAGTGAATCAGGAGGTGAGGTATGTTCTTCCCAGCCTCTGCCTGCCACATCAGAAGATATCCAGAAGCCTGGAGTGAATGGCTCCCAATCCATTTTGTCTTGAGAATCTGTTTTTCTTCTCTTTAAACAAGCTTCTCTAAAGACAAGGGAGGTGCCTATTTCCTGACTATGTCTCACTGAAAATGTTCATGGATGTGAGCTTAAGAGAATTTGCAAATTTCCTCTCTCTGATCTATGAGACAAGGAAGAATAAATTGTCCAAGCAGAGGGAGGTGAGTTGTTTGACACAGAGGATTTGTGGTGGGAGATGCTGAGAGGTTACTAGATACAACACAAAGTCTGGCCCCATTCCTCTTTGTCTGGGCCTTGAGGAACAGCCCTCGACCCTGGGGATTTGATTCCGATCTTCACGTGGCATTAATGCTTTCAAAGCCAAAGCAGGTCAAACTCTTACCTCCTGCTCTCTGACCAAGAAAATCCTGGATACCCTGAAACACTCACCCACGCCTTAGACAGGGATCCTTCCTCCTGAAGGCTGTTTTCCAGCATGGCTCATAAACAGGCGGCACACACGCCTCAGAAACCCGTTTAACACACGTCATCTGCGACTTAGAAACTGGCTGCAAAAATAGTGAGCTGAGTAAAACATGCAGTTGTTTCCAAAAGCCTGCAAACCAAATGCTGGAGGCAGGCACCCGGGATCTCTCAGCAAAAGTCATTTCCAGAGCTTGCTTGTGGTCAGCGGCTAGCGCTTTGATAAGCATTTAGAAGAGGCACTATTGCTAAGGAGAACGTCAGGCAGCTGCCTACCTCTGGTTTTGCCCCAAGAGGGAGGGGTCAGCAGAAGGTTCGTCCTGTTTAAAAGATCGGGGTACCTGCATGAGGTCTCTGTGGCACACAAGGCAGATGCTGTTTTCAGAGCTCACTGCATCAAGAGGGCTGCCTGACCACGCCATAAAGGTAAGCAAGTGTTTCCGAGAGGAAAGAGATTTGTTTGCCAGCTGCATCTCCACGAAGCTGTAGGCAAATAAATGAACTGCAGGCTGCATACCTCCTCTGCTTGGATCTCCAACAAAAGAAGAGCCAAGTATGCACTCCAACATCAAAACACTCTGAAAAGCTTGTTATTTTAAAAAAGGTTTCTTTTTAAAGGACAAGCCGCACTTGTTCCTTGTGCTTCGGAGTGACCTTCAGCTTATTCAGTGATTCGGATACATCCCATGGGCCTTACACTCAGGAAGGCTGGCTTCAGGATCTGGCCCTATGGCTCCTTAAGAGCTGCCTACACTTCCAATTACAGATCGTTGAGCAAGAGTGATTTTCAGAATTTGAGTGTCCTCAGCAGTGGGCACCCTGAGAAACACTTAGAAAGGTCTTGTTACTGCAAAGAATCACCAGGCACATGTCAGGCTGGGTTTGGCCTCAGAAAACATAAGTGCTCAAACTCTGTATGCTCACTCAGTGTCCTGGAGTCCAGGTGTTTTATCTGACAGAGACAGGCAGGTTTCAGCTCTCGCCACCAAATACAGAATCCAAAGGAAGGCTAGACTCCACATGTGCACAAGATGGCACACAGGAAACACTCTTTACTTCCTCTTCACACGCTAGCCATCAGCAAGCTGCCCCTGCCCTAAACACAGGAATGGGAAGGAATAATGCTCAAAGAATGAATAGTGCTCTTTGCTACTCTAGGAGAGAAGGAGGGGCCTGGGGGTAAAAGAAACGCAGGGTCAAGAACTCCCGAACAGGACAAATTCACCAACTTCAGACAGCATGGCTCAAGGACTTCTACTTTAATCACATCCTCTTGTTTTCTTCATAAAAATCTTTAGTGTATCATGTAGTGTATCTTAGAATAGTGTTAGAGCCCTTCATGTTTGGGCCTCCTGGCCT